CTTTTCCGTAGCTCCGCAGACAAGAACAGAACCCTAGCCGGGGCCGCCGCCTCCCTTCAGTGCGCCCGCCTCGCCTCCAGGCGCGACGTCCCGCCGGCCACCGCTGCAGCGCTCGGGCTCAGCGGGACTCTGTCCTGGCACCGAGCGGAGCCTGGGTCCCTCGCGCTCCGCCCCCTTAGGGACAGGACCTCCCCAGAGAGCTCCTCGAAACAGACAACGCTGCACCCGCGCGCACACAATGCGCCCGCGCGGAGCCCGCTCCGGCCCGCCCGCTCTCGGTTTCGGTGCGCCGGGCTCGATCCTCTCCTTCCCTCTCCTCGGGGGAGGGCGGGTCACTTCTCCGTGGCGCCCGGGAAGCTGGGAGGGAAGGGGAAACCGCGAGGCTCCGGCGGACAGCGGGCGCAAGGCAGGTCCCGAGCCGCGGAGGGAGCGGCCGGGGGGGCGGGCGGGGGCCCTTTTTTGTCTCAGTTCCGGACGGAGGGTGGTTCCGCCCTCGCGCCGCCGAGGAGGGCGGGAGCGCGGAGGAACGAGGCGCACGGGCTCGGCTCCTGGGAGGGATCCCACTGTCCCGTCCCCTCGCGCTCCTCCCCCGCCGCCTCCCCCAACCGGGGCGCGCGGCAGGGCTGAGTGCCCGGCCCCCGGCTCGATCCCTCCCTCTCTCGGTCTCCGGCCTCCCTCTTCCTCCTCCCCTTCCCACGCTCGGCCCGGCTCCGGTTTCTGCCCAGACTTTCTCTGAAACTCCGCCGGAGCGCTTCCAGCCACAACAACAAGGGCCGAGAGGAGGGGACGGACGGAGGGAGGGAGCGAGCGAGCGAGGGAGGGAGCAGAGTCCGAGAGCACCCTGGGATGTGTAGTTTCAGAAGAGGAGTAGGGTCCCGGCCACCCCGCGGCCCCCAGCTGGCCGCTCGCCGGGGAAGGCGGCAGAGGCCTCTGCAAGCGCTGCGCGGCGAGGCTGGGGCACCGGGAGGGACGAGGGACGTTAGGATGTTCAGACCAGGTTTGCCATCTTGGCTCAGCGCGGTTGTCAGTTCAGAGTTCTTGTATACACGAGATCAGGGGGTTAGGGGTTTCTCTACTTGACAGCCTGAAAAGCGGGACGCCGGGGAGAGAAACCGCGATCCCTCGGGTCCCCGTCGCGAGAAGTCGAAGGACTGAGAGCCGGAGGGCAAGGGCGCGCGCCATGGCGACCGGCTTACAGGGGAGGACAGGGGGACCCACTAGAGCTGGGTGGGGCACCTGGTGGGACCTAAGGATTTGATTGGGTCTTTGGGACATATTAAAGTTTCAGGCTCCCAGTATTTGTTGCCTGTTTCTTCCAGTTGATTTTGCTTAAAATCTACCCATGAGATGTTGGATTGGAGAAGGGAAACTTCATAGGTGTCCTAGTGCTATTTGCCTAATCTCGTGTGTTTTACAATTATTACACCTGGTCCTGAGCTTCGTGGTCCTGTAATATAGAAGTAACTTTTCTGGTTTATTTATAAAAATTTTTTTAGAAAATAATATACAAAATCATATAAAAGTGCTAAAATATGAGGAAATGAGTATTTCTGGAAAAAATAACCTCAGGCATTTTCTTATTAGCAACATTCAAATTCAGGAGCTCATCGAGTTTAGACATGGTTTACAATTGTAGCAAGAAGTCAGGTGCTAGGGTAGTGATGAGACAAAGGTTCTGGCATACATGGGTTGCTGTCATAGGGCACTAAATACTCTATGATAAAGAGGCTGGCAGGTGATGTGGTGGTGAAGAGTGCTGAGCTCCCACATGGCTGTCGCAGTTCAAGTCCCGGAACTGGAGGCTTGCCTTCGCAATTTCTGTCTCTCTCTCTCTCTGTCTGTCCCTCTCTGGTCAAATTAAAATAAAAATAAATGAAGTCCACCTGGAGGCTTGCTTTCTCATTCTCTCTCTCTCTCTCTCCCTCTCCCTCCCGCTCTGGTCTAATTAAAATAAAAATAAATGAAGTTCAGTAAAATAATGCTTTTTTAAAAAGTACTCAATGAAACTACATACAGTGATGAATGTGTGCCTTGAGGGAAGTAAACACAGTATGAGAAAAGTGACTTGGAGGGAACTCAGATGGGATGAGAGGAGAACCTTCTTTGGGGAGGAGACTTCAAAGGTATAAGGAGAGGAGAATCAGACTTGTTTTCTGGATGGATAAAAGAGTAACCATAGGAGGGCAGAAAGAGAAAGAGGTGTGGGAGGGTTACTTGATAGCGAGGCCAATGGAGACCCCAGAGAACCTGGAGGTGAGGACAGGGAGGAGCCCTAGGGAGAAAAGGGGGAGGGTGTGAGTTGTGCAAGCTCCAGTCCCCTAAGCTGGGAGTGGTAAGAGACACCCATTCACTGTCATAAATAGACTTCATCCTTCAGCATCTCCCCATTAGATTGATAGCTCCAGTACTGTCATCAATGTCAGAGAATACCTTGAAAGTAGAAGTAATTTATTGAAGTAACCCAGTAGTTACTACCAGAAAATAAAGCTGATATTCTAATGCTGTTTTCAGCTTATCTAAAGAGCATTCTTCATAAAAAGTGCATCGAAAGAGACCCGGTTCCATTGGGGCTTAGAGACCTCCGTTGTTGAGCAGATACTTAGAGTATCACAAGGCTGGAGCTTCTTGTAAATCTGGATTCAGTTTTCTCAGGTCATCAATTTAGTAGTCATGACCTTGCGTAAATTACACAATGTCTCTGAGTTTCAGTTTCCTGACAGGTGAAATGGGAATAATAACACCTACTTTGCAGAATTTTAATGCAAATTTGAAATGCTAGAATTTTGTTTTACTTTTTTGTTGTTGTTGTAGAAGTTTTGCTATAGGGCATATGCGCTCACCAGAAAAACAGAGAGAGGCAAAGAGATAAAAAGCGAGAAATCACCCCCCAGCGGGGATGGCCACGCCACAATCCTTTCTGCATTCTCCTCTCGGGATCTTGGGCATGCACGCACACGTGCCTGGCCTGAGTTTAAGCCACCAAGTCCAGGACTCAAACCACAGTCGACTACATGGGAGTCACTACATGGGAGTCCAGCGACATAGCCATTATGCTAACTGCTGGTCCCTGAAATGATAGAATTTGAAATGCCTGGTACATATTAGATATTAAAAGATTTTGCTGCTTGTTGTTTTTCTTGGGTTTCAAGGCTTGATAGAACACAAGCAAGTATAATTTTTATGGCAGCTAATAAACAGATTTTTTTCCTTAAAATTTATTTCTTCCTTGAGTGAAACAGAGAGAGAGAGGCAGACAGAAAGACAGCACTTCCAACAGGATTTTAATACTGTCATTTACCCCCCACCTCAGTTAGCCCTGTATTACGGGCTTGCATATGCCTGGCAGATTCCAGGCAGTCTCCAGACTTGAACCAGTAACTTTGCCGTGTGGGTCAGTCTTGCAAAGCATTGCGTGTTACCTCTGTGCCTAGTCTCCAGGCAATTCTTTTTGAGTTTGTGAATGTAGATTATGCCACAAGTCTACCAAGTGAAACTACATCATTGAATTTGTTTTCCACTTCTCCCACGGGCAGCAAATATCTACACTGCAACAAGCATATTTATAATCAGCTTTGGTTAGACTAGTCCACCACTCAGTAGTTACTGGTTGACTTTAGCAAATTTACCACACCCTCCAACCTTGTCATAAAGTCCTTTTTTTAATGGAAAAGTGTGATAGATTTTTCATAATTTAGCTTTTATAAGTTTTTTTCTTTATTTCAAATAAGGTATTCAGTTATTTCATTTCTGTATGAAAAATCTTTACGTATTGGGACCAGCAGTTAGTGTAATGGCTATGTCGCTGGACTTCCATGTAGTCGACCGTGGTTCGAGTTCCAGACCTGGTGGCTTAAACTCACGCTGGGCACTTGTGCGTGCGTGCCCAAGATTCCAAGAGGAGAAAGGAGGAGATGGGATTGCAGCGTGGCCATCTCCCCTGAGGGGAGATTTGTCACTTTCTGTCTCTCTGTCTCTCTCTGTCTTTCTGGCGAGTGCACGTGCCCTATAGCAAAAAACTTCTC